CCTCCCGTACTCAATCGTTATGTGGACGAGAAAACCTCCATACCCGAGCCAAGTCAAAATTGAGATGATGTCCAACTTTGCGTCGCGCCGGCCTGCATTGTGAAGCGATGGCATCCATGAGGTGCTCAAAACTGGCAAGAACCCCGCAGTAACATTGCTGTATAATTTTGATCTTACACGCCTCTCTAAAAAAATGTGACAGAACTTTCCCGCCAACCTAATATATGGTGATGAAGAAGGCGGAAAAATGGGCGCCAGTGACGTCGTCTTCAGGCTTCGCCCTTCCCACAATCCAGGATTGTCTTCAAGAGTATGATGGACGAGAAGTTTCGTTCCGAGTCGAACGTCAATACTGTGTTCATACTTTCCAACGCAGTGTTTCGAGTGAGAAGGAAAGTGTAGGCATCTATCTGGCGCTTTGTAAGAATCAGCGCTGTGAGCGGATCAGCATTTCGAGCTGATCCGCTTTAAGCTCCTCCCTGACGGCCCGCCTCTTTCCCCATGACAGCACTGCTCCCATATGGTGTACAGGGGATAAGTTTCTTCAAAAAGGTACTCACCTCCACTGGGAATGCATGCCGACATCCTTCCACTTCTATGATTCTTGGCAGCTTTGTCATTGTTGCCTTCGCACCCAAATATTCCTCTATCAAGTTCACGTAAGCTCGTTTGTTGCAGGTACCACAAAGACCTGAAAGGTTGTAAAATTCATCAGAATACAAAGTAGAAACTGCTGGCGCATTTATTGATCAAAGCGTAAGCAGGACAAAAAAGTCCGTTGGAAAGAGAGACACGGGGCTCGGTTTACTATTCGCCGGGCCCATGCTGTTCTGCCGATCTCATCAACAAGAAGGACAGTGGGGCGTGGTAGTATACCCCATCATCAGCGGATATATTCATTTAACGCATGTAAACAAGACAGCACAGATGAAGGCATCTCATCCTGTCATGCCCGTCCCACCATTCACGGGTGTCCGGATATGCGGCACGCCAAAAGCATCTACACTATGAGTTTAATCAAAATACCTTCGAAGCTTCGATGCGCAACAACAGTGGTCCTTTCTAGATCTCTTACTTCGACAGCTTTCGACTGGCAGTGTTTCCAGGAAGCAAATCAGGGCAAACAGTAGTACTCCCAGTCCCTCTCGACATAGGAGGGGGGGGGGGGAGGAGGGAGTTTGTCCCTAGCCTTGCTGGTTTTTTGTTATTCAGTATTTAACTTTCTCACCCCGTCTTGGTGAAACCCTTGAACGACTTGTGGAGTAAAACATATCCTCATACTATTGCCCATAAGATCACATAGTTTATTTAGGTCTCTACAAGAAGCATCGGTCATAATCGGTTAGGAAAAGTAAAATGCCCCCACCAAGTCAAACTGTGTCCTAAAGTTCGATCTCAAGAAAGCATACAAGGCCAAATAATGTGGAACGCCGGTTACGAGACCGATGGTGCGGCTGACGCGCGTAAACTGGTTTCCTTCTCCAGATGATTGGTTAGACATAGTACAGCTCTCCAATATCAAACCAATTAGGTACTCGTGCCAATAAAACGCGCGTGACGTGACGAATGACGTCACTGGCAACACCGTTTTCGCTTCAACGCCGCAAAGCGGATCTCTTAAACTACACCCGATCAAATTTCACCGGATAAAAGCTGTCAGATGGGTGTCAAAAGGCGAAATGAGGAAATCCACTGGGGAAATAAGGACTCACGCGGACAGATTTCTCCACACATTCCAAGGCAACCATGTCCACATGGCAGTCGCATCGTGCACGGTTGTTCACACGGTTTTACATCGCATACTTCGTAGCACCTGATAAAAAAGGCTCACAATAACAACCAATTTCATAACTATTTCGCACGCCCACTTCTGTCGCTCGATGGAAATCAGATTACCCTACTAAAAAGGAAAATGACGTAATGAAGCCAAACCCACTTTTTACTACAACTGCGATGCTGACAGCTGTTATCACAGAGTTTCGGACAAAGGACACATGGCTGCGAGCAATTTCGTCCGTATTTCAGTACCTGAAACAAAACACCTATTTCTCTACGGTCAGAAATTAAAAACTGTAGTGAGGGGGGGGGGCAACGCGACGATAGCACGCTTACTCTGGTCGTCTAACGCTTTCCAGGACTGAGCCATAGAAAAAATGGCGGTCGTTTAGGACATCCGAAGTGCGGCGCTAGTAGAAGTAGTAAATTTCTAGCTAGTTTACACTGCAGCTTTGCAATTGGGTCTTGGTGCGGATGCCGCGCATGTGACACCACTTGCAACGCCGCGAACGGAATCCGCTGAACTGAACACGGTGGCCTCTGTGGTAGCAATCCAGTTTAGCATAGCACTCGGCCGTGCCGCCCCCATCCCCCCCCCTCCCCCCAAACTACTTTACTCCCTGAAATTTCATATTGCAAAAACAAGGGGCAGTTTGGCGACGGAGGGGGTGAGCATTTTGCTTCCTACTGATAAGTCGACCCATCTGAATAACTTGACACGTCCACCTGTGGTGACTAGAAGAGCTTGTTCCGGCTTCACAAGAGTCAAGTTCCAGCACAGTGAGACATGTAAACCGGAATTAGTGAAGCATTATAGCGCAAAAGGCTCCCCCCCCCTCACCTCCTCGCCGAACTGCGCCCAGAGACAACTCTGAAAAAGTTATGAAACATGAAAACCTGGAAACGGTCACTGCTGCCGCAGTCCTGATGCTTACAACTTGTGAGACAAGGAGAAGTACAAGGCTCGCATCGTTCGCCACATCTAGATATTTGAAACCATTAAGAAAGTTTACAGTCATTATCACCAAAGTCAGACGGGACGTGTCAGCACAGCCTTCTGGCGCGGTGCCAACCCCTTCCACCACCACTCATAAAACGCACGAAGTCTCAGTTATTATCAGTTAGAAACGACCTCACGCCGCGCCTACACGCATGGTGCGTTGACACGCCCCGACTGATTTCGGCAGTATTAATTGAAGAGAAATCCTCTATATACCTATAGAGGATTTCTCTTCATACCCATCCTCTAAAGCAAACAACGCCCTTTAGGGAACTTCTTCTTTGTCATATTAGAAAGA